GGAGCCTAGTAAACATAACGTTGTTCATGTAATTGTAGATTAATGATACCAAAATAAAAAATAAATTAATAAATAAATATATAAATAAAAATATCTACTAAAAAATGCTGATTAAGTTATATAAGCCAGGAAAGCTCTCTAGGGCCATGTTACAGAATTAAAACCTTGAGCTTAAATGAAACCATTATGGATAATGGCTAGGAAAAAAGTACTATTTGGATGACAGAATCATAAACCCAAAAGATTCATGCAAGTTAGAAGGATGAACTAAATCCAACAAGGTATCTTCCATGAGATGTTATATGCAGATTTCTGATTTCTAGCTATGGATACTTTTGCTTAACAAAATCTTGAAAGATAGCCCTGCCAGCTTGCACCAACTTCTTCCCCAGACTCTGAAATAAGGCATTACAACTTTCCTGAGGGCCTGAGTCTTGGAAGTCTAAGCAGGGCTCAGAAGTGAGAACACTTAGGAGTGCTTACCATTCTCAGAAAAGGAGACGAGTTTATAATCCTTAAGATGCACACAGACCCAACCTCAGAGGCCTCTGAGCTATGCATGTAATGTGGAGGGTCTGATCGAGGAGGCAGTCACTTGCTGTACAAAAGGGGTGATGTGTGTTACCAGAAGCAGATCTCCTGGCCACATGAGCTGGCAGTGGACTAGCAAGAGAAATGAGACCCAAAGCCCATCTTGTAAATTGAGAACAATTTTATGTGTTTAATTTAGTATGTGTGTATTTAACTAAAAAAATAAGGAAGTTCATTAACAGTGAGAAAATAATATAATTTTTAATTTAATTTAATCTACATATGTATGTGTATTGGTTTGTATGTATACATATATATCTAGGATGGGGGAAGTCTGACTTGACAGTAGGTCATGTGAACAAAAGACCCACAGGTTTGAAGTAACCTCAAGCCCAGCATGAATCAGCATTTGTGTAACTGTCACTCAACAGGCAAATGCTAACTTAAGCTATAGCCAGTTGTGGGAGAGAATGGTCCCACTCTATCCTGGGCTCATCTATGAAGTTGCCTACTTTCTAGGCACCTCTTTCATGGGGGTACTACCAAGCCAGATGATGTCCAAAGCAAGATGAAGAGAAATAGTGAAGGGACTGGAGACCATGAAATACAAAGAAGACATGAGGAAAGTGGGGACAGGGGACCAATCTATCTGACGACTAGATCTGCACAGCCAGGGAGAGCCATCTCCAAACAGTTGAAGGGCTTCTCCACTGAAAAGACAGAGGACATTCTCTGGTACACTACAGGACAGAACAAGGAACAAGAAAGGTATCAAGACCAACAACACCCTGGTGGCCCAAGAAAGGGGCTACAGGAAGATGAATTCTGACTAGTAAAGGCAGAATTTTCACATAACCTGTCTAAAAAATGAAGAGGAATAACTTTCTGTCAGAGAACTCCTTGACCCTGGAACATGGAAATGCCCACCCATTTTACAGTCAACCCCCACCCCCACATGCCCCAAAATCAATTACTCATCTCTATTTTTTTTATTATTAACACTCATCACCTTTTGACATACTACATAATTTACTTATTATGTCTGTTGTTTATCACATGTCTGCCCTGACCAGAATATGAAATACAGGACAGTAAGAATTGTTCTATCTTTTTGTTCACTCATATAGACCTAAAACTGTACCTAGCTTATAATAAATACTCAATATATATTTGTGGAAGGAGGAAGGATGGGAGGGAGGGAGGCTGGTTAGAGAGCAAAGGATCATGAATGCTATAAGACAGGGACCCTTGATCAGGGTTCAAGAAAAGACTACAAAGAATCCCTGAACTCAGTGAAATTTCATGCAAAATTAGGTATGCATATACATTTTCCAAGAAAGGGCTTTTATCCTGTGCTGAGAAAGATCCATAACCCAAAGGAAGTTTAAGAATACCTATGATGAATGAGTCCCTGCTTAGAGGATGGGGTTGGACTTGAAAGCCTTTCAGATTCCCACCAACTCTCAAGTTCTACAATTCTGTGAAAATGCCAGAGTGCCTGATTTGGAGGGAGACGGGGCAGAACATTAAAGTCACTGATACCTTGGAACCCAAGAACGACAGGAGCCTGGAAGAGACAAGTAAATCGTAATGGCCGCCCTGCCTGACGCTGTCCTGGGCTCCACAGCAGATGAGGGGACATGACTCTGCGGATGGCTTTTGAGCCTCTCATCTCACCATCCTGCTCTCATCTCCTCAAACATGGGGCAGCAGTTGCTGAAAAGCTTTCCTCTCTGGGTGATGTGGATAGGAGGAGACTTTAAATGGTGCTGAGCTATGATGAGTCTCAAGCTCCTGCAACAGCAGCAATTCTTTGCCTGGATGCAAACCCATTAGACCATTCCTGGATGTAGAGCCCCTAGTGTGAACACCCCTTTTTGTAGCAGGCTAGCAGTCCCAGAAGCAGCTGCTTCAAAGAAAAAGGAGGCAGATACCTGCTGTTTTAACATTTAGCAGTATATCTGTTGAATAAGCATTTAGATGCAAGATACTGTACAAAGCAACAGAGCAATGGTAAGTGTTCAACAAATACTTGACTTAGTTGTTCATTTATTAGTTCAACAGCACTCAGTCCTTCTTCCATCTATCCCATAGTCCATTCACCACACACCCTCCCATCTCATGCTTTATTCAACACACAAGTATGTGCACAGGTACCACCCTCTCACCATGAAGTGTTCAGTTTGATAATGGCTGTGCATTAATACAAGCCCTCAGGTTAACAAAAGCCAAAGGACCCACTGGTTACCTCATTGCCGTTGTCTGTGTGGATGCAGTTCTTGTCTGGGTTCAGCTCAACCACTCTAGCTTTGATCCATTCCACACCAGATGGAATCACACTCGCAGTGGGACGGCCGGATGAGGATAACTGCTTGGCACCAGCACCCACCAGTGTCCAGATTGGCTGGTAGAAATGTCTCTGAGAACAAAGTATTAGGAGATTCATTTTAACCTGAGGCTGATTGAAGGTACATAAGCTAGACTCTCAGTTACTCCCTCCTGATCCTTAGAGCACCACATAGAAAATTCTCTAGGTTAGTCTTCCCCAGTCCATCTCACTGGTGTCTCCTATTATATCAAGCTCTGAAAGGCAGTCACCCAACACAAGAACATCAAAAAAAGGCCAAGATCATTAAAAAAAAAGCCATGAACTACCTTTAGGGACCAGTGTATTATTTATTGCTAAAAGCTGAATTTCTATTTAATATGTACATGTTATGTGTACAGGTACATATACACAAACATTAAAGGTACATTTATGTGCACAGATATAAAGAAAAATTAAACCCAGCAGCCTAAATATTGCTCCTTAGAAGTATGTGGAGACTATGGTAAATCTTAGAAAGGGCTTTTATCCTGTGCTGAGAAAGATCCATAACCCAAAGGAAGTTTAAGAATACCTATGATGAATGAGTCCCTGCTTAGAGGATGGGGTTGGACTTGAAAGCCTTTCAGATTCCCACCAACTCTCAAGTTCTACAATTCTGTGAAAATGCCAGACTGCCTGATTTGGAGGGAGACGGGGCAGAACATTAAAGTCACTGATACCTTGGAACCCAAGAACGACAGGAGCCTGGAAGAGACAAGTAAATCGTAATGGCCGCCCTGCCTGACGCTGTCCTGGGCTCCACAGCAGATGAGGGGACATGACTCTGCGGATGGCTTTTGAGCCTCTCATCTCACCATCCTGCTCTCATCTCCTCAAACATGGGGCAGCAGTTGCTGAAAAGCTTTCCTCTCTGGGTGATGTGGATAGGAGGAGACTTTAAATGGTGCTGAGCTATGATGAGTCTCAAGCTCCTGCAACAGCAGCAATTCTTTGCCTGGATGCAAACCCATTAGACCATTCCTGGATGTAGAGCCCCTAGTGTGAACACCCCTTTTTGTAGCAGGCTAGCAGTCCCAGAAGCAGCTGCTTCAAAGAAAAAGGAGGCAGATACCTGCTGTTTTAACATTTAGCAGTATATCTGTTGAATAAGCATTTAGATGCAAGATACTGTACAAAGCAACAGAGCAATGGTAAGTGTTCAACAAATACTTGACTTAGTTGTTCATTTATTAGTTCAACAGCACTCAGTCCTTCTTCCATCTATCCCATAGTCCATTCACCACACACCCTCCCATCTCATGCTTTATTCAACACACAAGTATGTGCACAGGTACCACCCTCTCACCATGAAGTGTTCAGTTTGATAATGGCTGTGCATTAATACAAGCCCTCAGGTTAACAAAAGCCAAAGGACCCACTGGTTACCTCATTGCCGTTGTCTGTGTGGATGCAGTTCTTGTCTGGGTTCAGCTCAACCACTCTAGCTTTGATCCATTCCACACCAGATGGAATCACACTCGCAGTGGGACGGCCGGATGAGGATAACTGCTTGGCACCAGCACCCACCAGTGTCCAGATTGGCTGGTAGAAATGTCTCTGAGAACAAAGTATTAGGAGATTCATTTTAACCTGAGGCTGATTGAAGGTACATAAGCTAGACTCTCAGTTACTCCCTCCTGATCCTTAGAGCACCACATAGAAAATTCTCTAGGTTAGTCTTCCCCAGTCCATCTCACTGGTGTCTCCTATTATATCAAGCTCTGAAAGGCAGTCACCCAACACAAGAACATCAAAAAAAGGCCAAGATCATTAAAAAAAAAGCCATGAACTACCTTTAGGGACCAGTGTATTATTTATTGCTAAAAGCTGAATTTCTATTTAATATGTACATATTATGTGTACAGGTACATATACACAAACATTAAAGGTACATTTATGTGCACAGATATAAAGAAAAATTAAACCCAGCAGCCTAAATATTGCTCCTTAGAAGTATGTGGAGACTATGGTAAATCTGGAAAGTTTACAGCCACTTCTTAGGATCCTCAAACTTCACTAACTCCTAACTGTGTTTCCCAAGCCCATAGAGGTCTGTGGACCTCCCCTGTCAGCCCTATCAGCTCCCCTTGTCCTTTACCAGAGGTTCACACCCAAAGCCAGTAGGCACCCAGCCTTATCCCATAATGCCCAAACTTCCACTATTTTCTGGAATTCTCTTGCTTTAGCAGGTCCACTCTTGATCTAGGTTGTGAAAGTTCTAGACTCAGGGGCAAGGGGCAGATTGGTTTAATGGCCTCTGAGAATTCTAATTCCCTCATGGGGTGGACTGGGGGACCAAGAGCTCTCAACATTGTCAAAATGCCTCACACTGGCCAGACGGAACTGGCATCACCCACAGAGAGGTGAAGAAAACGTGAGGAATGGCTTTGCAATCTCCCTCCAGCCAATAACGGATATGACCAAAGAGAAGGAGGGCAGAGGTTTCCGGTTGCAAGAGCTCATCAATTTCAAGTCCATCTTGAACATAAAAAAGAATGAAAATATAAGCTCTGATCTAGTGTTAGACTACAAATAAGCATCAGGTCCAGCGATCACTAAACCAGACACAGGAGGGGAAGTGTCTACCTCTGAGCTGCTGGGTGCTGCTTTGACAGACTCCTGTCCTGCACTTCCTCATGGAGCAGGACAGACGTGATCTGGCCGCCTGAATTGTGTCTTCAGCCTCCAAACAGCCTGGCTCATTACACAGAATAGCCTCACTGGGAAACCTGCCATGGGTTAGCTCTCATAGGCCACCTGATACAGCTCTCAGACCTTGTCATTTCAAATGTCCCCAAATAAAGTCATTTTAAAAAGGAAGGTGATAGAAAGTGCCCTCTCCTCCCCTCTCAGATCACAGAACCAGTCTGAGATTGCAACCAAGCCCTGGGCAGGTACTGGGGAGACTTCTTGGGAAGGAGTGTGTCTTTCTTGCTCTACCCTCGGCCTGAAAACAGGCACAAGATCCATTTTGCTTTCCTCCCATGGATACAGTTTCCATCTAGTGCACACCTACTTCCTTGGGAAATGTGAGGCAAACTGCCAAAAATCTAGAATATTTTTCTGAAGCTTTTCAACAATCTTAAAATGTTTTACATGAAATAGAGCCTTACCAGCACCTCCTAACTTCCCTCTTGGTGTCTGCTGCCTTTTTCTGATTTATAGTATGCTTATGGTTCCTTGCACTTAACCCGCTGACACCTTTGCAGAGACCTCCCCGCCCATCAACTCGTCACCCTTTCTCCAGACTGGAACAGAGAAAGGAAAGTACAGTGGCCATTGGTTTTCCTCTGTACATGAGGTTGAAGATGATAGGGTTTTGTGGGTTGAACTGTCTCTTCCCAAAAGGTACAAAGCCAGTGAAAGTACTTGTGAGTGTGACCTTATTGGGGAAGGAGGGACTTTTATCAAGTTAAGATGAGCTCATGCAGGATTAGAGTGGGTCTTTAATCCAATAGCTGTGTCCTTAATAAGAAGGTCATGTGAAGCCACTAGCAACCCACACAGAGAGGCCATGTGAAGACTGGAGGCACAGAGACAGGCCATGTGAAGAGGCTGGAGGCACAGAAAGAGGCCATGTGGAGAGGCTGGAGTGATACCACGACAAGCCAAGGAACGCCATGGATTGTCCACAACCACCCGAAGTTAGAAGAGAGGCATGTGACAGATCCCCCCCACCTCCACAGCCTTCAGAAGGAGCATGGCCCTGCCGACACCTTGCTTATATAACAGATCATATTATCTAGCCTCTAGAACTGGGAAAGCATGAGCATCTATTGCTTCAAGCCACCGAGTTTGTGGTAATTTGTTATAGCAATCCCAAGAAACTAGTACAGAGAAGAACATAAGCCAGGAGATCTGTCCTCTCTCTATTCCTCCCTCCCTCCACCTTCTTCCGGTCCTTTGGACGACTTGCTTTTTCTGCCCAGAAGCACTAGCCTGGGGACACGTCAGCACAGTGCCTGACAGTCATGCCCACCCCACCCCCAACACACACGCAGGCGTGCACACACTACTGTGCTCAAAAGGGTGAGACTCACCTCACTGGGCTCAACGATGGCCACATTGTCTGCGCCTACTTTCCTCTTCATGCGGGCGGCCATGGTGACCCCGCCACTGCCCCCGCCCAGCACCAGCACCTCATAGTGGCTCCGGGCCGCGAAGCTGGCCGCCGTGTGCAGCTGCGGTGGGGAGGCCAGCTGAGGGCCCCGCCTGAGGAACCAGGCCAAGAGCCGGGTGTTGGGGCCGGACACCGCAGCGCTCAGTGGGGTCATCTTTAGGCTGAGTCAGGCTGGAAAGGAGCAGACAAGGCTGCGCGTAAGCAAGGGACTGCCATGGGACCAAAGCATTTTCTTTCAGGGAGGAAGGGGAGGTTGGTACCTGGCCAGCTACACCTGGTTCCCTCCATCTCCTCTTAAGACTACCTTCCCATCTGGCTGTTGTCAAGTCTCCTGGGAATGATCCAGTGACAGCTCCCAAGTGGCCAAGCTTTCCATTTCTCCCTTGCCTCTTGCTCTCAGGACATCTAAGACTTTATTTGAACCAGGTAAGCCTCACCTTCCACATTCTAATGGTTTGCCTGTGCCCATCCTTATCCATCCATAAATCTAGGGAACGTGTGGTATATCCAGCTGTCCCCCGTTCACTTTCAGGCACATTCCTCAACTCCTTCGGCTTTTTAGCCATGAAAGATGTATGAATCCACACATGGGGCCCTGAACAATCCCTTGCCAAAAAGGGTATCTAAGACCTTGCTGAAGCAGAAACAGCCAAACAGGAAACCCACATTCTGCAACTCAGAGTTCAGACCAAAGTAATCAGGGCCTTGGCCCCACTCAGAGGCCTCCTGGTTCTGCCTGCTCAGAGACACGCAATTTAATCAAACCACTGGCTACAGACACATAAGCAAAGGCCCTCCACACCTTTGGCAATTTCAACCAGATGATTACAAGAGCCATAAAAGAAGCCCTGCCTGATACCATAAAGTAATATTTTATATGAAGAATCTGCACATGCTGCTAACCAGTTTTTTATTATATCCAATTTAGTAAACAACCTCCCCTTTATAGTTGCTCTGAGCAACACACTTTACCTTTAGGAAATGTGTTTCTGCCCTGAGCAGTTCGGCCTGGCAGTGAGGAAACAAAGGCTTCTCTGAAACTGGCCGTGGCTTCACCTCTTCCATAAAACTGGCCCCACATCTTGGATACCATCTACTTGTATCAGTTGAAGGAGGAAGACTCAAAATATCTCCCTCTCTGTGTATTACAATGCCCCAATTCCACCATCAAGTTCGGTCCTTTGGGTTCAACAATGCTTCAGGAGCCCTCTATTAAAATACAAGTACCCAGCTGGGGGATAACACTTCTAGCTGCTAAGGTCACTGACTTCTTAATGGGAGCCATTTAATTATATGATTTTCCTGGGAGCCATTTAATTATACAATTTTCCTCTGACTGGAGAAAAGGGAGACTACATGATGGGATTAGAGAAAGCGGAGAGGGAAAGGCTATGAAAGGAAGCAGGAAAGGCCCTGGAGGAGGGAAAAATGATCTCTTGGGAAAGAGGAGGCAGAGTAATGACTTTAATTAGGATAAATTCTATTCCAGAGTTTTTGCACCCTGACAGCGTCCTCAATATTTCTGATCTGAGAAAGCTTGAGGGGAGGGGACTTAGGGGCCCAGAGTAAGTGGGGCAGACTCAGGCATTGTTGCTGCAAGTTTAAAAATCAGCACAACTCTTCTAGAAGATTCTCATCCTTTGATCCTGCATTTCCATTTCTGGGACTCTAGGCTAAGGAAACAACCTCTGATAATGAAAAAGAACCTTTACAAAGATTTCTCTCATATATTCACTCATAATATTGTCAACCCTCAGTTAACTGATTTATGGACCGGATATGGTTACATCCTGGTGACAGAAAAAACAATTACAGGCTCCACACCGGCCAGGGGAGGCTCATGTCCCAGACTGTTTTGACCAAGATTAATTTATGATCACTTCAATTTAACATGGTGGGGAGGGGCAGGGACAGCAGTTTGGATGTCAAACATGGGGTAAAACTTAAGTAAGATATGGTTAGACAAGACAACGTATGTGATCTTTCAAAATAATATTTACATCAATCATTCAAATGCTTGTTATGATCAGTATACAAACTGGAAATATAAGTTCAACTATATAGGAGAAAATGCATTAAAAAGAAGAGCAAAATGTTAACACTGGTATGTGGTTTTCCCTGGGTTTTAGAATAATGGGTGATGTTGATTTCTTCTGCTTTTCTGCACTTTATAAAATGTCTACTATATACATTCATTAATGTTACAATAATAAAATCTTTTTTTTGATGATAATAACATATCAACTCCTTCACACACACATTTAACCTGTGCGTTGTTGGCTGCCACTATCATCCCTGTTTTTGGATGACAAAATTGAGGCAAGGAGCAGTTAAGTGACTTCCTCAAGGTCATACAGACCAGAAGTGACGGACTGTGATTTGAACCCAGGCACTGTGATGGCAAAGCCTCTAAATAAAACCACTATACTCTACTGTCTCACAACAACAAAACAATCTTTATGTAATAATGTGAAATGAAAAAAACCCCAGAAAAGGAAAAACCATTTTTTCATGGTACTAACACCTAAATATTAGCAATACTTTGGTATATGTATATTTGATTTTTTTCCCTTTTCTTTGTGTGTTTTTCACAAGTTTTCTTTAATGAACTCTACATTATAAATTTTTTTTAATCTCTCAATTTGATTTTTTCTTTCTTTTTTTTAATAATGAGTTGTGGAGGAAATCACATAGTAGAATGTTACTGTCTGGTACAGAAAGAAGGTATTTTATAGAGAATAAACAGTCATCACATGCTGCCTGTCTATATGATCCACCAAATGACAGAATCACAGCAAATTTCTTCCTTTCTGAAAAAAGGGAAACCATTTTTTCCTGACCCTGACGCAATATCTTAACCCCATGGAAAGAGTTAAAAAATAATAACCTAGAGGAGTTTCTGGTTTCCAGCCACTCCATCTCAGGTTATTTAACCTCCTACTTCCCTTCCAGCCTAACACCCCACAGTTCATCTCTTGAAAGAGGAATCGTTTGTGCAAGTATTTCCCTTATTCAGCCAAGAAGGCTAGTTTAGTTTTATTTCAGCAGTTAGCCGGAGCCTGTTTCTGGATTCAGTATTTATAAACACCAAGTCCTCTCAGCCAGTTTTATCAACTTCATGAATAACAGTCATCAAGCAGAATGTCCTGGCTTTGCAGTCAGTTTTCACTTGTGAACCATAAACAAAAATTTTGAAAACATGAAAGAATGTGCTAGTGGAAATGTTCCAAGTTTCAGAACACCAAAAATCTCAATGACACTCTCATTCTAACAATGTGACATCACCTAAATTTCCAGATCAGGACAACCAGAACCATAATCTAATACTGTGTGGAGAAGATAGAGCATGATACAAACGTCAAAGACTAGAAACAACCCAGAACAATAATGCATAATCATAATTTAATGCTCCAGTTGACAGCTGTGATATAATAAATAAGTATATGAATATATTTAGTCTCTGTCCCCTGTTCCTAGCACAAAGCTCCTAATATCCTTAGAATTTCCTGAGTGATAGTTGTTATTTAATAACAAAGAATAATAATGACCTTTTGATCACAACCGAGTTTATGCTAATGGTGACTCAGGGTGGGACCCCAAGATTGCTTCAGGATGGGGCCAATCACCAGAAAAATCAAATATATGATCAGAAGAACTTTCAGCCCCACTACCAGCCTCTGAGAGGGGTGGAGGACTGACAATCGAATTCTATAAAAACTCCTGAACAATGGGATTCTGAGAGCTTCCTGGTTGGTGAATACATTGAACTGACAGGAGGGGGATGCCATATACACCTAGTGAGGGCACAGAAGCTCCATGCCCCCTTCCCACCCATACCTTCTTCTATGCATCTCTTTCATTTGAGCATTCCTGCGTTGTAATAAACTTTATAATAAACTGGTAAGCATAGATAAAGTGTTTCCTTGAGCTGTGTGTGTCATTCTAGCAAATTATCAAACCTAAGGAGGGATCCTGGGAAACTCCAAATTTGTAGTCAGCCAGGAGGCAGTGTGGGTCACCTGACACCCCATTTACAGTTGGCCTCTGAAGTGAGGGCAGTCTTGGGACTGAGCCCTTATCCTGTGGGGTCTGAGTTAACTCTGGGAGTTAATGTCAGAATTGAATTACTGGACGGTGTTGGAAAACTGACTGATGTTTGACAAACCATACATTTGGTGTTAGAAATGTTGTAAGAAAACATTAGTCAGGAACCAATAGGAATTCCTGACACTGACCCAAACCAAGTCTATAGTAACAACCAAAGAACACAATAGTGGAAGGGAGGGAGGGAGGAAGGAGAGAGGGAGGGAGGGGAGGGAACAAGGGAGGCTAAACTGGACCCCAAAGTCATCAGAAAAGAAATTGGAAACCACTGTCAACAAAATACTAAGGAGCATAAATCTAATATGATATTATTAATCTCCCTAGAAGGTAGCCTGAAACATATTTGCTTGTTAGGTTAGGAAATAAGAATTAACTACCAATGATACAGAAGAATGCAGCTACTTTATCTCTATAGTCTTACAAGGTAAAACATTCACAAACATAAGGTAAAGACATTCATAAAAACAAAAAAAATTTATAATTAAATAATGTCATACTTCTAAGTTAGAAAAAAAAAACCTCAATTAATCCTAAATCAATTGAGTGCCTCCTTCAAAGGCTCAAAATCAGTGCTCTTATATCTGTTGTCTAACTGCAGAAGTAACATCTCTGTTGACTGCAAGGTAAGACAGCTGGGCACCTCCTACTTACATCACTGGCTCCAGCCCTGGTCTAGACAAGTCTTGGGGACTCTACAACCTGGACAGGCAAAGCAGATCGCTCATGTCAAAAGTTCCCTAATCTCACACCACGTGACAGGCCACTCACTGGGTGTCAGCAAGGACACCTGGCTGAGTTCAAACAGAGCTGGCCTCTAAGCAAGGAATATCCAAGCATTCTTAATGAAAGATCCATCGGGCCAATGAGACTTTTGGTCAATCTGTCAGCTATTTTTGCTCTTGAGCAGTGAATCTGTGTATGGTTCACAACTGTTTTATCTCAAGCCTACAGCAGGCAGAGCCCTCTTTGCTTTCGGTTTCCATAACCACAAAGCCAACTTTTAATGTATCACCTTTGCAGAACACCTCTACAGTCAAACAGGAAAACAGACAACAGGTTTCGGCTCT